GTGAAAAGAAAGGGGGCATTACGATTAGCATGTATAATGTGGGGGGGGACATGGGGAGTTCTGGGAAACACAGAGAAGACAAGCACTGATTCTACAGCATCTTACTATGCTGATGGACAGTGACTGTAATTGGGTGTGTGGGGGGGGGACTTGGTGAAGGGGGGAGCCTAGTAAACATAATGTTCTTCATGTAATTGTAGATTAATGATAACAACAACAAAAAAAACCTTAACTGTATTATAATTTCTTTAGGTCGGTACTGAGGTTCCATAGCTTCCATTTTACTATCATGCTTTATAATTTATGTATGTTACATGCTCTAACTCATTGAAATGTACAAATATATTTTAGAAGATATAGGGGAAAAATCTGATGTGTTACCCTTTAAACCTGGACAGACTTGGCTAGATGCAGGGCCCTTCCTCAGCTGGCTGGGGTCCGAGAGCTGAGCTCAGCCCTGGCCTCTGCTCCTTCCTCAACACTCACTTTCAGAAAAGACCAGTGAACGCCAGGCAGGAGTCAGTTAGGGGGGCCATTCGGCATAGCAAGTGACCTGGGTTCTGCACCACCTCCGTTTCCTCACCTGTAAAGTGGGATCGCTAACAGTACCCGTCAGACCTATGAGAATGAAGAAGAGTAAGCGAAGTATCCAGTCACGGCCTGCCGGGTCCGTTTGTTGGCTGTTCTTTTTCCCTTCCCCGTCCAGGTCCCCTTGGTGTTCAGAGATAACCTCAGAAGGAAAACGCCAGGAGAGTGGACGATCTAAGGTTCCTTTCAGCTCCAAAATTCTGGGCCGCTTTTCAGGGGCATCCAGAGTTAGGGATGAAAACGTCCGTGTCTGAAGTGGGGCTGAGGACAGAACCTACCTCCCCGGACTGTGGAGACCCGCCAAGAAGCTAACTGCCATTAAAGCGCTGTGACGTGTACACCGCGCTTCAGAAGAGCTGCTTTATAGACGGGGAAAATAGATGTTGCTGAGGAAAAGCCGCATAAGGGCCCAGCCACGGCTGCCCAGTCGCCAGTGTCTACCTCAGCCGCCCTCCGGGTCGGC